AATCTTTAGCACTCTTCTCAGCCCCTCGAGCTTGTGAAACACAGAGTAGTGACACTAAGGAAAACTATTGTTCAGAAAAGTAAACCTCTCTGAAGGCCACCAGGAATCCACAAGAAAATCCACATTTCACAGACAATCCAGGCATTTTTATCAAAAAAGCCTTCAAAGATAAACAGAATGTCCTTCTGTCCCATGGGTTTTTAATCATACAAGATGTCCAAATCCAAGGGAAACCAAGAACTAAGGAAAGCTAACATCCACTCACTTGCAGTTCTCAAGACCCAGGTGGTGACCTACAGCCTGATTACACGGCATTTTTTAAAAAGCTTACCCTGATCCAGGGATGAGTTTATTCTCTGACACCTGTTTGGCTGCTGTGTTCTCCAGCTGCACAGAATGTTCAAGCCAGGTGAATTATGATGACTTATTTCACAACAGGGAGAAATGAGATCCAAGAGCAAATTTCCAAAGTGACGTCAATATCATCCAAGTAACACCTAAACAAAGCAGACATATGGGTCGATTCTGAATCCAACACTTTCTTCATCATGTCATTGTCCTAAAGCATCAAGTCCTTGCTGCCCTGATCATTAATGAAGCCCTTTCAAATGCATTGAATTCTTTATCTGCCATGCTTTCTGACAGAACAATTTCAGTATTGTTAGTTCCAATTTCAACCGTCTAGGCTCCTAGAGTCTAGGAGACAGAAGTCAACAGATATCTCTTCCTTTTGTTCTACAAGCTATTTAAACTTGTAGATGCATACCACATCCTTCCTCTGACAGGCTGACTTCCAGGAACTAACCTGTGGTTTTGAAAGCAGAGTATTTTCCATAGCGGGCTGTATTACTGATTGCTGACATTATTCATGTACTCTGAAACTGTGCCTCAGGGACTTTACAATGGGCTACCAAGAAAAACTAAAGAGCAATAAACAAAAAAGTCTCAAACATCTAAAAGTTATTTCCCCCCTTTACATGTTGTTCACTAGGTGGGCACTAAGAACATGGAAAGCAAGGATAAAACAAATTTCCTGGGGTCCCTATAATGTTTTCTTTATGAATCTATAAATAATGCAAGAATGCATAATTTTTCATTTTAGAGTTCTGGGAACAGATCCTGAGAATTAAGCTGTCACCGTGTAGTCACATTTCCTTTCTCAGAGTAGCCGTTTACATTATTTTTTTTTAATTTCACAATGGGTGGAACTATTCCCTTCTACTTGGGATTTGTTTAATATGAACTATTTTGATTTTTTGAGATGTCTTAGAATGAATCATGCAGACTGACAAAAAAATCATTAGAGTGAGATCTTGTCACAGCTAACAGAATAAGTTTTCTGAGCACTTTGAGCAAGTCTGGGTTGTATGAGATTGTGTGTCCAGACTCAAGTTTCACAGTTATCTCCACTTTGAAACATTATAAAGAAAAGCCATGATTTTTTAAAAATGAGGAATCAAGTACATTTTGTACTTAATTTGGAAACATTTCAATATTTAAACTCTAGTGGAACTCTCCACTTCAAAACAGAAAGATCCCAGAATGAGTGAAAGCAGTTTGCTGATAAAGGAATCTTTGTGACAAGGTACGGCTGTCTCTGGCAGAAAATGACCTACTGTAACACTCAAGGCCAAGCTGGTAGCCACCGATTGTTCAGTGGTACATTTTACCATTATTCTTTAGACTCCACCTGCAAAACAAAAACACAGCCTCTTCATACTAATTGAACAATTCCAAATTTTGAAGTCACTCATTTCTTTGGGGCTCAAAATGCAGGCATCAGAGGATTCTAAGTGTAGGATGGTACCTTAACCCTAGAAGAACTTCAGATGGCTTTCTCTGGGGAAGAGTTTTGAAGGCAGTAAACAATGTGACAATAAGGCATGACAAAGCAGGGGGGAAATACTCCTCAACTCTGAATTTTCCAAGTTTAAATTTGTGAAAACCAGAAGCTTTTTGCTTGTTTTCTTTTCTTTTTCTTTTGTTGTGTGTATGTGTTTTTAACTTTTGGTCCTTTTTTTAAATGAGGCTGACACCATAAGAGAGGTATTTTATCAGGGAAGATAAACATGTCATAAAATTTATATTAGTAAGGGCTGTTACAGTTCAGTAGTACAGGCCTTGCCTATTGTGTCAGAGATGCATGGGTTTAGTCTCCAGCACTGGAAAAAATACCCAATATAATTAGTACCAAAAGAGATGATACATACATGCATCTCGTAAATTCCAACTAGGAAGCACTATGAAATCAAAATAGCACTGCACTGTGGGTTACATCTGAAATCTTAGGACTTAGAAGTCTGAAGCAGAGAATCACCATAGGCTGAGGGCAAGCCTGGGTTGCATATAGGACAACCTGAGCTACAGACAGAGATCCTGTACAAAACAAACAAAAAGCAAAACAAATAAGTGTTCAGAGATGAACAGAACATGGTAGTACCAGCCTGGGATCCTAGCATTCCAAAGGCTGAGGTAACAGGATCACGACAAATTTGGAATCAGCCTTGGTTACATAGTGAGACCCCATCTCCAGAAATTCGGCTTATATTAAATTAGCTGAAGTCTGATGACATGAGTTCTAATTAAGCTGCTTAACCTTGAACAAGACACTTAAGCATGCTGTGCTGAAGTTCTGATTAAACGTGCTCCGAACCTTGTAGTTAGAGTGCACAGGTGTGGAGAAACAGCCCAACACAGACATACACAGCCCTTTTCTGTGGCAACTGCGACCAAATTACTCACCGGTATGGAGGGCTGGGGGGAGCCGAAGACAAGTTCAACCTTTGTCACTGACACACAAAGTGTTAGCCAGTTCTCTCCGGTCAGGTTCTAGAGCACAAGCTGGGTAGAGGGACATTTCCATTTGTGGGTTAGAATTAGGTTTCCTCCACTTGGTTTTCCTGTCTGACTCTGGAGCTATGGGTCTGAGTTGACTTGGCTCTGAAATCATGCGTTGGAACTCTGGTCTCCAGTGTAATGGCTTGGAGAGCTTGGGAGGCTTTTAAGCAGTCTGGTGAGTGGATTAATGTCTTTTCCATGAGGATGGGTTAGCACTGTTGAGACTCAATTAGTTCTCATGGGAATGATGTAGTTATTACCCAAGCAGGTTGTTGTAAAGTGAGTACTGGCACCTCCCTTGGGTTTTTCTCACACATGTGCCTTGCATTTTCTGCCATGAATGAGGCTTTATGAGGCTAAGCAGAAAGATTAGGAATGCCATGCTCTCTGGTTTCCAGAACCAGGGGCTAGCTAAAACTGGCCTCTTTTCTTTATAAATTACATAGGCACTAGTAATTCATTATAGCAGCACAAAGTGGACCAATACTCTTAGCAAAGTTAAATGACCTTTGTTTCCTCAATTGTAAAATGAGGAGACAGCTCTACAGATGTTCTAAGGATCTCTTCGTGTGTGTGTGTGTGTGTGTGTGTGTGTGTGTGTGTGTGTATGCATGCACGCGTGAATATCTTGGAATTGTGTGTGACACATTATACACATTAATAAGTGTTAGCTACTATTATGAAATGAACCCATAATGGAGCCTATGTTAGCAGACATGGATTAATGACTTGGAAACACAGGCAAAGCAATATTAACTGCTAATAGCCATGATGTTGATATTGGATAATAAAGAAAGGGGAGAAAGTAGCTGAAGCTATTGATGGAAGTATTGTCCAACATGGTTCTCACTACCCACCTTACTACACAATGCTTGCAGTGTGTTAAATAGCAGATTCTGAAACCTCATTACTCCTAAGGCAATATATGTCATTATGAGTGTTTTATACTGACTACGTGTTCAAATGAGTATATATACATATGTATGTATATATATCTTAGATATATTATGTTAAAGAAAATCCTCTATTGTACTATTTCACTTGTCTCTATTTATTTATTTATTTATTCTGGTGTTGGAAATCAAACCAGGGCACCATTCATGCTAGTCAAGTGTGCTGTCACAGAGCTACATTCCCAGCGTATTATTTTTACCTTTACATTTTACTTATTCATCTACTTATTTAATGTGTATGAGTGTTTTGTCTGCATGTTTGTCTGGTGTGTCCGGTTTCTGAGGAAGCTCAAAGAGCTGAATCATCTGGGACTAGAGTTACAGATGGTTGTGGACCACCATGTGGGTGTTTGAAACTGAACTAGAATCCTCTACAAGATCAACCAGTGCTCTTTATTGCTCAGCCATCCGTCTCTCCAGCCCCACCCTTTTACCTTGTTAAGAGGCCATTTGAAACACTAAAGTCAGTCATGTGACCAGGCTTCATGATGCACACCTTTAATCCCAGCACTTGAGAAGTAGAGGCAGGCAGATTTCTGTGAGTTCAAAGTCAGCCTGATTTTCATAGTGAATTCTAGGCCAGCCAGGGCTACATAGTGAGACGGACTGAAAAAAAAATAAAATAATGTGTGTGATGCACATTGTCTTTCTAGTGAACAGTAATCTGTAAAATGCTAAAGCAACTCACTGTCCCTATTGTCAAACTCTTTTTTGCTGATAGTCTCTTACTGGAAAGTAATGGATCATGTGACAATTCTCTAGATAGTTCTAGGTCCCTTTCTGTTACATGTGTGTGCCATGAACTTTCCTCCAAAGTTCTTAAGGAACTCACTTTTTTCTAGTTTTATTTTTTTTTGAGACAGGGTTTTTCTGTGTAGTCCTGGCTGGCTTCAAACTCACAGAGATCCACCTGCCTCTGCCTCCAGAGTGCTGGGATTCGTGCACCATTGTGATAGAATATTATTTCCAGGTGTGTGACTTTTGTTTATACTGTATTTGTTTAACTCTCTGACGCTGTGTTACTGTGCCTGTCTGAAACACCTGATGGTCCTAATAAAGAGCTCAACAGCCAATAGCGAGACAGGAGCAAGGACAGGCGGGGCTGGCAGGCAAAGAGGGTAAGTAGGAGGAGAAACGAGGACAGAGGAGCAAGGAGAGAACAGGAGAGGAGGATTTCAGGGGCCAGCCACCCAGCAAGCCACGGAGTAAGAAGGAAAGGAAGATTACAGAAGAGAAAGATAAAAGCACAGAGGGAAAAGGTAGATGGGATAATTGAAAGATAAGGAAAGCTGGCTAGCAACAAGCCAAGCTAAGGCCGGACACTCATAAGTAATAATATGACTCCGCATGTGATTTACTTTGGGAGCTGGTTGGTGGGTCCCTCAAAAAGCTAAAACAAGATATTACACACTACCACCAGGCAGGCAGTCACATTTTAATCCCTCATACCAGCCCAAGACCTTGACTATTGACTCCAAATGCTGTGAGCTTTGCAGAATCGAGAGTCTAGATTCCTGAAATATTTTTTTCGAGACATGGTTTCTCTGTAGTTTTGGAGGCTGTCACGGAACTCGCTCTGTAGAGCAGGCTGGCCTCAAATTCAGAGATCCGCCTGCCTCTGCCTCTGGAGTACTGGGGTTAAAGTTGAGCGCCACCACTGCCCAGCCTGAACTGCTACTTCTGTTTTGCGTTTCAGTGAGTAAAGTACTGAGGACACTCTGCCCGTGAACGATAAAGTAATGGAGTCACCAATGATTTCAGGTAAAAGCAGCTGTGAAAGTCATTGTTAGGGACCAGTTGGAATGAAAACAGGACTCCTTGGATGTGGAGCAATTATGACTGTGGGTATGAGATTGCTGACAGGGAACAAGGAAGATGGAGACACGAGCCACTCAAACAGCCTCTGGAAGGCCCCATTGCAGCCAGCATGTGAAAACCACCTTCACCATCTCCCTTTGGGTTTTCAAGTGTATAGCAGACAAGGTCATGCTTGTGTGTGGGTATGCTTTGGACACAGCTGAGCTGTCAAGCAGGGGCCACAGTCCTTTCATCTCCTAAACACAAGAGAACACAATTCAAGTAAAATGTGTGTGCTTTGGAAGTTCAGAAAAGCAGAAGCCACCTTGTGCTAGAGGTTTCCTACAAAACTCGGGACTTGAAGTGACCCTGAAAGAATGTAAAAAGAAAACTAGAGACCATTGGTTGGCCGAATTCTCCATGTGCCTGTGTCATGTGATGAAAATTCAGTCCCTTTGTACATATGCATATAGGGGTTTTTCTGAACCTTCCTGCAGACTTTCAGAGAATTGAGTCCTTACTCATAGCAACGGTGGTGTAATGTGAAATCTGGGCCTCGGGCTTCCAAGATTTCCTTTAGGGATTATTCTTCTATATGGTAGCTCTGTGTGGAATATTTCCACAGGAGTCCCTGATGGACCTTACTCTCTGAGATCAAATGCTGTGTGTTATCACTTACATCCAACAGAGACTGCTGTTAAATGAGCATCCTGATGTACGAGGAACTATCCCTTAAAGAACCAGTAAAGCAACCATGCAGAAATAAACAAGTTCATGACACAGATGAAAAGCCAGTCTCTGTTAATCCTTAACACACCATCTCAGTTCTATCTCCAGAGTAACTAATTCATTACCATCATTATTGCCAGTTAAAAGGAAGCTGGGAGAGAAGAGAGAGGATAGGAGGAAGGAGGAACAGTAAAGAGGGACAAATGAGATAAAGAGCAGTGATTTATGGGGTGGAAAGAGACCTCAGAGGTAATCTAGTGATTTGCTTAATTGCCATTCAATGAGTTAGTGACAGAGCACAGGCTCCAACTGAAATGCCCAGATTCTTACTCCAGGTCCCCACTGCCTGCTTTTAGGGAAGACAGATATAGTAGTCAGTGGGAAGGGAAAAAACCAAATTCCCAGCCTCAATAGGCTTAGATTCCCAGCCCCTCCCCCTCTTTGAGATGCAAAAACCTCCCAACAGTTAGTTTGAAGCAAGGCCTTTAAGCTTCTCTTTTCTTCCCCAAGTCACCCCAAAGACCTTGTGTGAGCCAGCTCACTCTTTGCTGAGAAATCCCCTAGAGTTATCTTTATTTACTGGGAGGACATTGCTTGATCTCTTGGTTACATATTTTTTAGACACAGTTAAAGAATTGCGAATGTTATCTAGCAGTTTCCATAGGGTTCCAGGGTAGACAGTAAACATGTTGAAATCAAGCTTGCAAAGTAGAGAAGAGCTTACGTTTCTGCTATCCCTCAATACAAATATTCATTCTAGCCACAAGACCAACAAAAGAATTGTCAAAATACGCTGAAAAGGGTTTCTTGAAATGACAGACTTCTCTACACCATCACAGTATCTACAATCTACTTGGGCAGAAGGACAAAGCTCAATTATTCATAATGGCCTCAGCAGAGATGTGATAATACCTCACCTCATTAGCATGTTAGCATATGCTATAAAATATGATAATTTTATACTCAGATGAAGGATTTTTATTCTTTTTCTCTATAAAAGGCTGGCGTGGGGATCCAATTCATGACATTCCTTAACAACAATGGGGACACTGTTTCCAAACTGCTCCTTCCAAAGGCATTTCTGAAAGCCAGAGATAGTGCCTTTCAGAAAGGAGATCGCAGTTCTGGCACAATACTTAATTTATTCTCCTTCGATGCTATGCCTGGTGGAATGAAGGAAATAGGGTGCATTCCATTCAACCTGATGAAACAGAATTCGAACCCAAACTCTGGAATCATTTATACAGCTCTTTGAAGGCAGGAAGTGAGCTAGCCTTTCTCTTCTGAATTGTATAGTTGAAGAAAAACATAAGAAGATCTTAGCTTCTAAGGAAATTGTCAACTTGCACCTCTTGACTTTGAAAATCACGAAGTTACAAGTTACATGTTAGAGGCCAAACTTTCATCGTCATCTGGGATTTCTATCTGGAGAGACATGTGAAAGGTGAAATCCTGTTCATTTATGGATTCATCTGTGCAGTTGCTGGGTGTCTCCCATCTTGGATGGGAAGATGGTAGCTTAGATGTCGTTTCAACCTGGTGCAAGTTGCAAAGATTGTAGTTATTGTGAAGATGACCTGAAAACTGCAAATTTTTTCTTCAAAGCCTCTTTCTGGGTTTTGCCTGCCCTGCTGAACCCCCCCCCCCACCTTTTGGCTCACAGGACCCTGAAGAATGGGGATCAGCAGGAAGGAAAAATGATAGGAAACAAACTCATGCATCTTGCCCATCTATCATAACACTCCTACAGGAAAACAGAGCTTCAGAAAAGAAGGATCTAAGTTTATTTCAAATTGGATCATAGAGTAGGGTGCTTGAAGGCCTGGCTTTTATCTCTGACACTACAAAGGAAAAAAGACCATGACAGTGGTTTTCTTTATTCTGGTTCTGTGGCAGTTTGTAGAGGCGAGTCATTTCAGCTAGATCATGTTTTGGAGCCTCAGTTTCTTCATCTGTAAAATGAAGCAATTAGACTAGATTATCAATTAGAACTTCCCCAGAGGACCTTGCCAAATGACAATACTGGTTCCACTGTCCTTGAAAAGTCATTTCCAGGCTTAATATTGTCCCTTGCAGAAAGTACATTTCAGGTAACCTGGAATTGGACAAAATTAAAGACAAATTTGTACTTTTTTCCACAAATTGTGTTTATCAGTCAAATGTAGAAGTGTATCTGTGGATACAAAACTCATCAAACATAATGTTAGATTTGTTAAGAGCATTAGGTCTTAGTGTCAAGATTTTAGTCAAACTTGGTAATGCCACAGTTTAGGAAATGCACAGTGTGCACAGAGAGATAATTCACCAAATATAGAGATTTGTTTGGGACACTCAATTGAACTGTAAGTGAAATAGTTGAAGTTGCAGAAAGCAACTATCACCCAAAATAAAGATAAATAGTTCAATTTGTTTAGGAACCAAAATGCAAAATGAATGATCTTTACTACTGTAGTTAAATTTCTGACACAGAAATAAAATTGCTGGGCAGTGGTGGCACACGCCTTTAATCCCAGCACCTGGGAGGCAGAGGCAGGTGGATCTCTGTGAGTTCTAAGCCAGCCTGGTCTACAGAGCGAGTGCCAGGATAGCCTCCAAAACAATACAGAGAAACCCTGTCTCAAAAATCCAAAAAAATAAAAATAAAAAATAAAAATCAAGGGAATATATGATGTCCCTTGTTGCAGCAATTTTTTTTTTGGTTTTACGAGACAGGATTTCTCTGTATTGTTTGGAGGCTGTCGGTCCAGCCCGGCCTCGAACTCACAGACATCCGCCTGCCTCTGCCTCCAGAGTGCTGGGATTAAATGTTGCAGCAATTTTTAAGAACATTACAAACCACAATTTAAAGAAGAACATTTTGAAACTTAATGAAGAGACAACAAAGGCTTCAAGGACTAGAGCAGAGAAAAACTGATTCTTGTTTTTGTTGGGTGGATAACCAAACTGGTGAGTGCTGTTGAATTTCTAGTTTGTTGATTATCCTTTCATATTCAGTTTTAGAAAAGAAATGGCTTAAAGGATAAATATAAGGCTATAGCTACACCTAGTAACCAACAAAATGGCATTGCATCCACATAATACTATAAATAATATAATGTGGGAATCAGTATTTCTCTGATGGAACATGACATGATTAAAATACACGGAGAAAGAAAAACAGTTTGATTTCAGATAAGCTAAAGAAAGCCTCCAATAGTAAGACTGGGTCTGAAGAATGCAACATTTTCAAGGTCTGTCTCTTATTTAAAAGAAGCTGTATACTGCTGTTGTCAAGATCCAGTGGTCCATGCTTTCATTTATAATGCCTCGAAGGCACAGTTGCAAATCAAATATCTATAAAAGGATTTGCAGATTTTCACATTACATTCTAAAAATATAGTTTCACCCTAGATATGAACTAGAACTATTTGTCTTGTTCTCCAAAATCAACAAGCAGACTCTATATTTAAATGCCTTTGTTTGTTAGCTTTGATATCCTCCAAGGAAACACTGAACTTTGGTCTAGTTAATTAATTATAAAATTATAAAAGATTTAGCCTGCAGTAGTACAGTAATTTTTGCAACACATACCAATATTTTGTGTTTGCTTCTTTGAATACTTAAAACACATCTTAGATGATGGTTTCTCAGCAAGTTGATCCATCCCCTATCTAAACCTATTCACAAATTTGCAGCCCTTGCTTGGATCAGTTCCACATTTCTTTCTGCTTTTATCTTTCCTGTCTTAATTCATAAGGATGCTCTAATAAGCAGCAACTGTGGAAATGGCATCACTAAAAGCTGTTTGTCTTGCTGATGTTAATCTTCTTGTTTTTTAAATTTAAGGAGTAGAGTTTCAAGTAGTAAAATCCATTAGGACTTTAAAAACTGTGGGGTGATATGGGCAGACCACCCTATTCTCAGAGAATGAGAGTACATGCAGAGCTCCAATTGTGGTCATACATTACATGTATTTAAAGAATAAATCCATGTCCTTCCATCTCTGATTTTTAAAATAATTTTCTTGTTAACTTAGACATCATTTTCAACTTTGAAAAGTAAACTGGATTGCACTCGTTTTGAGAAAATGAATTTTCTTTTACTTTTTAAAGTAGAGCACCTCTCTAGGATGTATCTGCTGGAAGCCTTCCCATTCCAGTGAGTGCTACTAGCCCCACTATTTAGGTTGTCCCAAACTTTCATTGAAGTTCTTTCAGGCATTTGGATAATTCAACAAATTGCATTGCACCTTCCTATGTATCGTGAAAAAGGCCAGACAAAGATTCCACTTCCTACAGGAGACAATTAAAGAGTTTCTTTACGCTTAGTAGGCAGAACCACCAAGCTGAGGATAATGGTTATCTTTAAGGAGAGCAGGGGAGAGGAAGAAGGGTTATGGGGAGAGGTGGAGGCGGGGAGAGAGGGGGAATAAGGAGGGGAGGTGGTAGAGAGGGAGATTGATTCCATTGTGTGCCTTTCCCACATTAGTAAAAGGGGATCAAGTTTTGTTTCAGCTGTAGTGAACACAATATTAAATGACTTAAAGATTCTAAATCTATATTTATTTCGACTTCTTTTCAAAATATTTAAAACACTGTATTGGTGTAAGATTATGAAATAATTGGACAATCTTAACACTGGTTTTCTTAGGAAGAAAAATTGTTTTGGTGATAAATTTCTGGTGACTGTTTTGAATATGAAACTTGATCATTTATCATGTTCCATATGATGACCCTTTTTTCCTCTTAGAAGATGTATAATGGTATAAAGGCAGACAAAATGTAATTCAAAAAACAGATTAAAAAAGCAATGTGTGTAAAACATTACTGGTTTACAGCTTTTTCTTTGATTACAGTATTATAGTCTGCTAGCAATTTTATGGTTTGTAATACCAGAAGTTCCACTTCTGAGGTCACATAAACAGGAAAATCAAAGTGTTTCAAACAGAGTGTAAAAATGCCTTAACACTATTTAATCTTAATAGTGAATCACTTTAACGTCTACTGAGTCAATTCCCAAGGTAGGAGAATTAACTTGAGAAACATTTTTTTTCTACTGATGGAAAGCAGGAT